CGGACCGCTGAAGTGTCATAAACGGAAGGCAGGTTGGGTCGCGGCACCCATCTAAGAAAAAGTAGAAAGCAAAAAAAGGCACTAACGAGCAGCTACAAAGCCCGCCCTCCATCGTGTGCAGATATGCAAGAAAATCAAAACGAGCCATACATAGGTAGAGCTCTGCTACCTATGTCACGAATGGCGAGATATTCCTAGGCCGCTGCAATGTCTAAATTTCTAGATCGGGTGGCACTGTATTGAAGAAAATCAAAGCCATAAATAGAGCTCGGCCATGCTGTTTTTCGTATCCCACTTGTAAGTAGTATTCTTGTCATCTCCCTTCTGCGAAGCCTTGGGGTTGAAGAAGATACTACTCCCATTCTTCAAATTGCTACTATGCCGATGCCCAAAATCGTGCCTGAGGGAGGTATAGACTTTTCTATAGGGATTTTAGTCGTCGTGTCTGAACGACGACAGGTTTGATATCTATGACAAATAAGGTACCTAAGGCATAATGGAGATGTAGTTTTCTGAAGAAGGTGCACGCGAATAAGTTTTGTCTTTCTGACTGATTCATGCAGGGTCTTTCGAGAAAGATTGATTAATGTTGGAAGGGAGAACCAAAGAACTATCGAGTAGAGAAAGAAAGAGGAATCCATAACCTCGCTCTTGTTACTTGGCCTTAGAAAAATTCAAACTTTTACCCTGTTTAGTAGCCTAATTGCCCTGTTCTGTACGTCAGAGCCATTCCATGTACTGTCCAAATAAAATCAAAGCGATAATACCCTGTACTCCAGAGCCATTCCATGTACTGACCGCTCCAGCTCGTCCGCATTAACGGGCCACCACCTGGAGGAACCCTGTTATTCAAAAACCGGCTAGCGTACGGCATCACACTGTGCGTTACGTGCGTACAGATTAGAGGATGTGTGGCGGGAATAGAAGAAAAGTGCACGCTGTAGCATGATTCATTCGATTAACAAATATAATCGAATTGGTTACTTCCATTCACGAGTAAGGGTGTTTGGGAGTGGATGACGAGTTTTCCTTTTCTTTAGTAATGTGGGAGTGGCGGGTGCCGAGTTTTCCTTGCTAGTTGGGACGAGTGGATGACGAGTCATCCTTTTCTCTAAAGTAGATAATCTAGATCTACTAGACATGATCTACCTTGCAGAAGTAAGGACGACAAAAATCAAATAAAAGGAAACCTACGTCGATTTCCACGTCGAGAGGCCCCTTATTTCTACGTCGAGCACTTGTCCCCCATAACTTCAAATTCCTGACATCGCCTGCGCTCTTGGCCCTCTGCACCTTCATGCTCGAAGCGGGTACGTGCGCATAAGCATGACCTGGGCCCTCGCTCTTAAACCACTTCATTCTAGTCGGCTTCGCACTCATGTAATACGACTTCTCCAACTTGTCTACGCCCTCGGCGAGCTCGTCCTGTATGTTTTTTTTTGGTGTAGATGGGACGAAAAAGTCGCACTTTACTCTTTGGCCGTTCGAATTTGAACACCATGAAACTCCGAAGAATCGCGCAAGCCCTATGGTGTTCAAACTCCAGCAGCCAGATACTACAGCGGGGCTCTTCCCTACGACTTCGGCCGGCGCACAACTCGCGACAACTTAGGCCAGAACCCGCCACAACTTAGGCTACAGCTCCCACAAGCCAGGCCACAACTCACACAACTCACGCAACAGCTCGCCAATTTAGGTGGCAACCGGAAAACATAGATAAATGGTCTTCATAACGCCCAGTAGGCGTAGTAGATGCGCCCTCCAGTGAGTTGTACATAATTGAACTACCCAGAAATTACTATGAGTTTACTTATGTGAGTATGTAGACCTTAGAAATTCCATAAACACAGTGAGACTACAGTATGGATATGACTAATAGAACTACCCTGAAAGATAGGATCGTCCTTGACTCGATTCCATTCGAGGTATATAAATAGCAGTACCCTGAAACTATCGTGCTTGAATCGATTCCACTCCAGGTCGCTCGTATGGTTTTTTTCTATCACTGAGTAACTCGGGATCCAGCTGAGACGATCCATGTGGAAGGCTTTGTCGACCCCCTCACCTTTCAGAAACATGCGGAAATTAGACACTAACCTGTATACTAAATCGTATACTGCTTCACCATTCAGAAACATACGGAAACTATACTAGGGATGAAACTCTAATATACAATCTAAAAGTTGTATACTCCGTCACCTGTGATCGAGAAACATGAGCAAATTAGAGACTAAGCTGTATATTAAATTGTATACTGCTTCACCTGTGATAGAGAAATCAGACGACTTCTAAAAGAATCTATCGCGAACACGATATCCGAAATTCTAACTCCAACAATAGAGGACACCCTCCACTTGTTAAGTATTCAAACATCCAGAGAATAAGAATCTATCACTAAGGTGAATAGACATCACCCTACTTGAACAATTGAATACAGTGAGACGAGTGCCCTCGTTGTTAGATGGAGTAGGAAACTAACCCTCTAGCCATGTGTCTCGGATAAGTGATCAGGCCAACGCAGGAGATGCCTTAGTGGTGTAGGCGTTGGCTTATTCGTTTACTTATCATTCGCACTTTCTCAAAAAATATTGAATTGCTCTACTAGGCCATCAGGCGAATGAACGAATACACTATTCCAGCAGCCGTAATAAAAGCATCCCTCGGACATGTGAGGTAGACCGTTTCCTCCCGCGTGATCACCGACACCGGACATATAGGCGATACTTTTGGCTTCGCTTGTACCTAAAATTGTGTGTGTTTAGAGCGATTGATACTCTAAAGATACACATATCGTCCACACCACCTCTTAGTATCTATTAGTACTATATCTGATGTTAGTTGTACGTCATCATCCCGCACGATTATTCATCTACTACTAAAACTAAAAATTCTAAGTTAGTAGTTGTACTACGATATCATCCCAGCACACAGTTATTCAAGACATCAATCATACTTACCAAGAACCCTAGTAGTTTCACCCATTCTGTAGCATTTAGTTGACCCAAGAACCCTAGTAGTTTCAGCCATTCACATTCTGTAGCAGTGAATGAATGAAAGTACCCACTCCAGGGGTTAAGAAGAGAGAACTAGCAACTACTTCCTTCTACATCTTGAAAGAAGTTAGTGAGTTGACTACTGAAAGAAGTTAGTTGTACGTCATCATCTCCCACGATTTGTTTTCTTTTTCGTTTCTTCTTGTCGTTTTCGTTGGTTTCATGGAGTGTCTGTGTGAGCATCGCTTCTTCGGTAGCTGAAAGTTTCCTCTGCTGCGCTGATTCATCCTCTACTGCCTGCCCAAACCAAACGCCAATGTTAGAAGAGGCAAGCAATTATAACGATGTGTTTGCTAGACGATGAATCAATCTTAATACGCGGCGAAACAATAACGAGTAGAGGGCCGTGAGATCACAAGTGCCAGAAAGAGTTCGATTGTAGGTCAGTCAGTCAGGGCGTCGCCGACCTCTAAATAAGCAATTCACTTCCTGTAGAAGATAGGCGCTCCAATCAGGAATCTCAAACGGGAGAAACCATCCGAGAATAGTGTGTGATGATCTAGTGTGATTAAGTCTAAAAATGCATGATTAAAATCTAGTCTAAAAATAGTGTGTGATGATCTAAAAATGCATGATTAAGCACTATCTCAGCAAGAAGCCTTAACACTGCCTGCACTGGTAAGCACGTTACTAGAATTCTCAGAGACAACCAGTCTTTGCTCCTTGATGTAATTGTTGAAGGGTCGTTGGTCTGACTGCGTTTGCTCAAAGCTGATAAAGACATCCACTGCACCACCGAAAATGTTAGAGCGAGCCTTGTTTTCTTCTAGTACTATGGGAAGTAGACCTAGTTTTATCAGTTATATCTAGTTTTTTTCAAGTTCATTTCCTGACGATGAGATTGACAGACAAGCGTACACTAGCACTGCAACTACATGCCAGATCATGTGTGCACCTCAAATGACTATCCTCTGTCATTGGTGAGAGGAGACAGTCCCTGAAGCGGTCCGAGGATTCGACATCGACATCTCAAGCTACACTCATGCTCAAAAGAAACCACTGGAACGCTTTTACTAGAGGTTGTTGTCATCCCAACATAACAATAGCCACTATGCTATCCCAGTCCGTGCCTTGTGAGAGCAGCTCGACCCCTTTGTCCGCGTACTCTTAGAGCTCGAAACTGAAAGAAAAGTAGAATTCTGGTCTGTCATCTTTTCTTGTCCTACTTAACTACTATTAAAATGTAAAATGATGTATCGAGCCTCAATATTTTTGAGGTATCTATATTATGTAGGACTTTTCAAAGTTGTATCGAGCCTTAATATTTGATGGTAAAGAGTGCTGTGAGGAGTGATTTCTTTGCGTCATCCATTTTTCGGAAAATTTCATGGCTCTCTTCCAAAAACTTCTCCACTGACAACTGGCCATTACGCATTCGATACTGGTCCGTCATGGAACTGATGTGGGATTGTTGTTGGGTCTATCAAGGAAGTAAGGCAAGGAAAGGTGTATGAATAAGTAGCAAGGGAGGTAGAGGACTACTCAATTTTTAAATCCGCAACCGCCATCGAAGAGGAGGAACTGTGTTTTTTTTTTCTTGTTGTTATTTCTTTGAAGATTGGTTTCGAGATCATCGACCTCTTGGTGATCGATGGGTAACTAGGACTACGAAATTTTTTTCCCTTTCATTATTAAAGCACACCTGCCGAAAGCTCACGACACGATGAGAGGTAGCCATCAACACAAAAAGTAGGAATCAGCCCAAGAGGTAGAAGCAATCAACACGAGTGGATAAGTAGCAACGTGTACAAACAGAATAGGAAGAGTACTTTTTCCTATTGGCGTTTTTCTTCTCCATGATCTTCCTGGTTGTCGCTGTAGCCTTTTCCAGCAACTTTGTGAATTCTTGCGCCCGCTCTGGATCTGCATACGATGACGACCCATCATCGGTCGAAAAGGAGTTACTTGTGCTAGCAAATTAGAGAAGCTGAGTGGTTGAAGCGTACAGAAGGAACGGACCTGGCACTAGTACTGCATACAACGTGAAGAGGATAATTGATACCAGCGTACAGAAGGAACGGA